TGAAAACCATCACTGCTGGCTTTTGAAAGTGAGAAGTTATCTGAGAGCATGTGTAGAATTCTTGTCCTCCTTTTTGAGTCCTTCTGAAAAGTTCTTTCTCATTCTTTCTTAACTGTTTAGAAGGTATAGATCTTATCGTGCCAAATGTATTCTAAATGACTAGACAATAAAGAGAATAACTTTTTTCCCTGCCATGCCACAGTGTCTAACAGAGTAGTATGTTGGGTTCTTCATATCTTGTAGGTCATATTAGTTACACAATTACCCTAGATTGACATGTGCTAGTAGAAAGACACTCTCAGAGAGAAGTAGTTTGGAGGAACAGGAGATGTAAAAGGTCAACCACAAATCATTCTGATTTAAACATAATATGATTTAGTATAACCCAAACATCAAAAGCTATCCTTGGGAATGTGGGGAATTTACATTACATTGCTGTACCAGATTGATACGCAAGCCTAGAGCAACATTGCTGTGAAGCAGCAACCCCCACCACAAGGAATGGATTTTAGTGGACATAGTGAATTTGTGAGCTGGCATGCCAAACAGACCCCTTTGCAGAATAAACAAGCTCAAATCCATGTGTTCTATTTGTAGCTGGTCACATTGCTGCTTTCTTACTCTCTACTTCAGCAACTCAACCATAGCTAGGGCCTCTACCCTCAATCCTCTACCTTTGGCAAATTTTTTGTTCTTGGCTCACTGATGATTGATATGGGTTTGAGCCTGAATAGTGTTTTGGTAGCCAACATCTCTGTAAGTAAGACCAGCTGAAATACTGTTGTCAGCGGAAAATTTGGAATGGCAAATAATAGAATCAGCAAGGAAGGATAAATATAGACAGTATATTAATATCACTTGTTAGGCTAAGATCATCTCAGCACTGTGGAGTTGCTGGTTTTCGTCTGTTTGTTTTGGTTGAAGGATTTATTATGGCTTAGTTTATTTCCCTTGGTTCAATCTGCCTTTCTGTTTCTGAGCCTTTTTAGCAAAGACAGTAGGGTCTGAGTGTCAAATAAGTGGATGGAAGGAAAGATAGGCAGAAGATGGAACTCAGATACCAAAGCAGTAAGCATACAAGTGACTCTTCACTCATTAGGCTACACAATGCAAGAGTTGACTATTAATCTAAATAAATGATCAGTGCAGTCCGCGGTTAGTAGCTTTCATGGGAATTAATTAAAAATATCAGAGAAGACTTAGGAGCAGGAATTTGAGATGAGCCACAGACAATATTTTTGTCTGTGTACAGTAATACCTGGTTTTTAATATGGAACCACTTTTCTTTCTTGTTGGGGAACAGCATGTTGTCAGCAAAATTAAGCCCCAGAATGAAACTTCTTCAAAAAAGGAAATCCAAAATGAAATCATTTTTTAAGGGTATAAATAAAATAGATCCACGCATTTCCTGACAGCCTGAATGAGAAGGTCCATATTTATCTCAGTAAGCTTTCAGCGTTAGACTTTAGGAGCCAAAGTGACAGTTTTGGATTCAGCCAGACAGTGAGCCTGATATATAAAGACTCAAAATAGATTTCCTTTGCCCCTAGTCCTGCCAAAGAGCCATTTTAGGTGTGCAGGAAGGCGCTGAGTATGCTAATGCATACTGCCCTTATGCTGAGTGGGAGCAATGGATGGCTTTGCCTCACCTGACTTATCTTGATTAGAATTTAGATCCCCAAAGAATCTGAAAGGTAATATGATATTTCTTGTGATTTCACAGCAGATGTGCTTTTGCCTTTTTTCTTTTTTTACATGGAATCATTGGAAATAGAGAAGAAAATGCAAAAAGCTTGCATTATAATGGAAATAGATAATCAAGCTGTGGGAAATCATTGATGCTTTTGATCATTCTGGGATTAGAAGAATTCTCCATACTTGTAGAAATGTACTGTGTCAAAAGATAAGGAATGCAAAAATGGATTAAAGTAAGATAAGAACTTTCATCCCAAATTTCACTAGAACTCTAGGCCAACTTTTTGTAGTAATTCTGAAGAGCCTTGTAGCTGTGAGTGTTTTTTTTTTTATAATTTCCTGTTTTTCTTTGACCTTCTTCCCTCTCTTCTTTCTCATTGCTTTCAATAAAAAAATTGGAAGACCACCTATATACTTTTGATACTGTGCTAGGTTCTGGACAGAGCAAAATGGGGGAGAGTATGGGCCCACTTCTAGAATTTGCAAGTTAAACTCTTAGGTAAATGATGTGTGCATTGAGTAATAGATTAACTTACACAGGCATAGAATGTAGTAGAGAGGATTTAGATAAGAAAAAAGTGAGTTTTTAAAATTTCCTCAAATTAGTGAGAAAAAACTCTGTAAATGGGTTGGGATGACTGCACAAATAGACCATGAAGCTAATGTGACTGAGACAAGGAAAGGGCTGGGCAGTGTAGTGGGAGAAGAAAAATGATCTGAGGTGGTGCTAAGGGTGGTTTGAGGGACTATTTGAATGCAAGTTAGGTCTAATCCTTAATGTAGCCAGTAGCCATTATAGACTTTCAGGAAAGGAAATGGCATTCCTAAAATCTGTAAGTGAAAAGTTAACTATATCTAAAAGCACTTGTTCTAGTTGCAGCCTACAGCCTGGGGACTTCAGTAGGGAGGAGATCGTGACAGCTGTGCTAAGAAGTAACCTGTGGCCTAGACCATAAGCATAACTGAGGGATGATTTAGGAGGACAAACTGGCAGTATTTGGTGAGAGACTGGAGTGGAGGACAGGGAACATGAGAATTACTGCAAGGTCTCTCTGGCTTGGGAGGTCAGAGTTACTTTGGTGTCACTTCTTCTGTGCAGGCTGGGCTTAGGGAGAGTTGGTAAGAGGCAAAGAGATAGCACTGGCTTCAGTGGGGTACAGTACAAGGCATGATGTAAGGAGTCTGCCCAGGACTCAAGTGAGGAGCAAAAATCTATGGCAGGAAATTGATAGCACATTTTTTCCATTTCAGCCTGGCCTCGTCCTAGAAGAGGTGACAGACTAATGTGTTTGGTTTTGTTTGTTTGTTGTTTTGGCTTGTTTTTCTTTTTTCTAAACATGAGATGATTTGAATGATTCTTCAAGGATGTCTCTTGTATTTTCTTTGGAACTCATGATCTGCCTCATTAAGGGGATCACACTTTCCCAATGTGAAATTATGTGCAGGTTGAGTTATCTCATTTGATAAAGAAATGCTTCCTGAATTTATATAATGTGAATGGGAACTCTTAGCTTTAAAACGTGACATGGAACCTTCTATGCCACGTGTGTGTGTGTGTGTGCATCTGTCTGTGTATTTATGCACGTGTACATAGCATGCCCTATATAATTATAGTTATGTCTAAATTTCTGTACTTTGGTTTATATATCTTGAGTGTTTTATTTTTCTTTGGAAATAAAGGGTATACCTTCTACTTCATTTGTACCCCACAGAGCGTAGTATATATATAGTACAATGTAGATTGCATAAAATGGCATGTCTTAGGAATATGAAATTATAGGTTGATCTTAAAAACCAATGTTAAAAATGAATAATTTATTTAAAAATAATGATAGAGAGTATCATAAAGTCCATTCAACCTCAAATTAATCTCATATTTTTCTGCATTTTTATATTTCAGCTATAAAGTAATGTTTTATGATAATTGAAGTATTCCAAAATTCTCAGATGCCTTCTAAATCATTAATAAAAAAGAAAATATTTTCAGTGAGGCTGCATTGTTAGAAAAATGAAAATTGCTCATTCTGGGCAGCCAGGGTGGCTCAGGAGTTTAGCGCCGCCTTCAGCCCAGGGCATGATCCTGGAGACCCGGGATCGAGTCCCACATCAGGCTCCCTGCATGGAGCCTGCATCTCCCTCTGCCTCTGTCTCTGCCTCTCTCTCTCTCTCTGTGTGTGTGCCTTTCATGAATAAATAAATAAAATCTTAAAAAAAAGAAAATTGCTCATTCTGTGAAAATTGGTAATCCAAGTATGGCATGTATGCTAATTATCAATTAATGACTGGCTAATTTTAACTCAGCCTTGGGCAAATCTGTTTCTATTTGCTTCCTCAACTATTAAAAAGGGGGAAATGACTCCTGGCTCACAGGCATCTTGGTAAAGATTTTACTCTTTGAAAATGCTTTCTGATGGAAAGTACCAGACAGATATTCTCATGACACATTAACCTTGAAGTTGAGCAATGAAGGGGCTAGAGTCAAATGATCCTAGAAGGTGTGACAGATTGGCAGACAGGAATTTTGAAACTAGACCTGGCTGGGATGTCAAGGTTAACATTACCCTCTAATCACTGCTTTTTTTCTCTCCTTTACCCCTTTTTTCTTTCCCAGGCAAGGTATTGGAGGATCGGAAACTAGGCCTTACCCTTTCTTTAAGAAAGTGACATACTGCTAGTTCCTTTTGGTTTTGGAGGGGAAAAAAAAACCCATTTGATTCCTCAGCTTGGGGATTTCTTATGATGCCTGTTTTTGTGAATGATATTTATGGACCCCCCCTTTCCAGACCATTGCTTTGGAAAGTTATGTAACCAGACACTGATCTAAAGAGAAGCCAGACCTGAAGGTTATAAAGTGTTGAATTTGTCCAAAGTTGAGTTCGTGTTTACAGGAGGAGAGCCTGGGACCCTTTTTGCTAGGTTAGCTTTCTCCTTTGCTGAGTCTGAGCACTTGGAATATTTTAGTTCTGGCCTGCTGTGACTAACTGCCTGTCCAGCAGCTTAACAGATGCTTGAGCAAGACCACAATATGTCTCTCAGATAATTAAACTTCGGGGTTATGCACAAAAAGACAAATTTTTATGCATCATTTATGGGGGCATTTTATCATCAGGCCCTCATTTCCACTTTCTCAATACAGCATAGTAAACTATGGTATTTGAAAATCCTTATGCTTTGCCCTTTCTCACTCCCCAAACCTGATACAAGTTTCCATCATTGCTGTCCATGTTAGACAGATCTGTTCCATTTCAGTTGCAGGAAATATTCTTAGCAAACACTTACCCAGTGTGTTCAGCAGCAATCAGGCCTTTGATGATGATGTAGAAGTTTATTAGAACATGAAGAGAGGAATTACTTACAAGTAATTCTGGAGTACTGGCTACTAGGAACCAAATGCCTCATAGGCAGAAATTCATTGGATAGCATGCATTTATTATATGTTTGCTGCAGAAGTTTAAGCACTTGAGCTCAAACTTGCCATTAGACCCTCCCCAGCATGCGGGCTACCCACCAGTTGCAAGGCATGATGACACGACAGATAACCCGCCCTCCTTGATAGCAGTATGGATACGGATAGTAACCTAGTAAAGGTTCACAGACGCGGCGGCAGTAGCGGTTGCCTCGACGGCAGTAAATACAACAATAACCTCTCTCATCCAGCATGGGATCAAATTCTAGTCCATTTTCAGTCTGAAAGAAGAATAAACTGGGGTTGGAGGGGAAGGTTCACCAAGAAGAGGCCCACCAAGCAGGGAAGGACTATAAGACTACATGAGCTGGGGACTGGTGAGAAGTTAAATTCCTGTCTGATCAAGACTAATCAAAATTGATTACAAATGAGCCACCTAGGGATTCCAAGTTTCTTAAATATTTTTCGTTAAAACAACGACCCTTCTCCTTTTAATAACTTTGATCTAAGGGGTGGTGAGTTTTTTGAGGGCTCTTTGCTATCCCTCTAACAAGAGTAACATGAACGTAACTTACATAGTCATTTATTGGAAGTTCTTCCTCACTTGCTTGTCTGGTGTGGCGGGTCTTTTCCATCTTCACTTGGGGGACCACCCACTGCTCGTTTTGTTCAATACCTTTTTTTTCATTGGTAGGAAAGTGAAGATCTTCACCATCTTCCTCAAAGTCTTGTAACTCTGAAACTAAAGCAATAAACACAAAGTAGTGATTCACCCTGCTTTGCAAATGGTTTCTGAGAGAAGTGCTTGGAGTTATGGTGTTGGGAATAGAGATTTTCATTGTGTCTTCTCACTGCCATCATTTAGGCAAGCACGAACCACTTTTCCGAATTCCTTCAGCTATAATTTTGAAGAGATTTCCCAAAACAAATCTGACTATTCCCATGTACACAGACCTATTCCCTGCTCATTTGGCATCACTTACTGCTTTGCTTTACTAGCATCCTAATTTTAAAAATGAGGACAGCTAGGTGGGGGGGTAGGTGACTGGGTGGCTCAGTCAGTTGGGTGTTAGACTCTTAGTTCCCCCTGGGATTATGATCGCAGAATCTTGGGATCCAGCCCTGCTCCACACTGGGTGTGGAGTCTGCTTGGGATTCTCTCTCTTCTTTCTCTCTGCCCCTCCCTCAGCTCCTGCATGAGTACTCGCTGTCTCTCATAAATAAATAAATAAATAAATAAATAAATAAATAAATAAATAAATAAATTCTTTTTTAAAAAAAAATGAGGACAGTGGACTTAGGTATCTCTCCCAAAGATTTTACTTATGCTGGGGGCTCGGTAAATATTTTTTGGTTGCTGGATTTGATTTGGTGCCCTCTGTCTTCCTCCCTTTCTCCCCTCTCTTTCCTGTCTTAAATTCTTTTTAAAAAAACTTTCTATTTATAAATAATCTTACATTTACAGTAGAGTTGCAAAGATAGTACTGAGTTCCTATCTACCTTTAGGTAGTTTCCTCTAACAGTAGCAACTTACATAACCATGGTACAATTATGAAAAGTAAGAAATTGGTATCGATACAATACTATTAAGTAAACTACAGACTTCATCATTATTTCCACTAATGTCTTTTAGAAAAAGAATACTGAAGCAGAAGTTCTAGCATCCAATCCAGAATATCACATTGCATTTAGTTACTTTTTTTTAAGCTGCCAAAGAGTACCAGTAGATGCCTGCATTGGTTAGAGTGGCCTCTGTTGAGTAATACAGTAATCTATTCTGTCCAGAATAAAAGAGGCCAAAGTCTGTGTTAGCTGGGCAAAATAAGGCATCCAGAGGCCTTTGCCTCCTCTATGAACTGACTGGAAGCTTACAGGTGGACTCTTCAACTCTAGATCTTTAGTCTTCAATTACTTTCATAGTGATTCCTAAAACAGCCACAGAGAAATTTGTATTATAGTGACTGTTCTATCTTCCAGAGAGAATGCTGCCATTTGACACACAGAATCATTCTTGAGACAACAGAACATTATTTTGGCTCTTCTCTCTTCTGTTCTTGGGTTTGGGTACGCAGTGGTTTGAGCAAAACTTCGGTATCCTGACTGCAATAAATGTAGATGTGCAAAGAAAGATCAGTTTTTGCTATCACTAGTCACATTAGGGTGGCATTACCTTTGCTGGGATATTTAAAAGCTTGTCAGCATTAACTTATCTGATTTATAACTTGGCTGTGAAAAATTTCTTCTTCCCTTGGCAGTCAGCATATACAGTTTGATCTAAGAAGATATAAGCTGATCATTTGTTTTCCTAGAAATGTAGTCTCTAAATGATGGGAATATTAACCTGTTACTAAATTTAGAAAGAGTAGAAGAAAGAGGAGGTGAAGAAAGAAGGAGGCCATACCTGCTATTAGAGTGGGATTGATCCAATACATGGTCACATTATCACAAATTTCCAGAATTTTGGAATTTTTCAGAAAGTCTCGATTTTCAATAGGCTTTTCTGCTGGGACCCAAATCACAGACTGTTCAAAAAAAGTTGTGGTGATTTCTTCATTCTGAGAGAAGTAAGTTCAGTGTAGGGATAGGCAGAGAAATTAATAAGATGAGTGAGACATTATGGGATACTGGAATACACTCTTTTGAGTCTGAATAACAATTCCAATCCCAGGGCTGCCAGTGAACTAGCTCAGTATGTGCATAGAGTAGGTGCCCTTGGGAGAGTTAATAACTGATCTGTCTCTTGGGTCTAACAGTAAGGCTGCTCACCATAACAGTTTTTTCTGCTACCATTTCACTCACAGCTAGAAAGGCTATCCATCATTTTCTGGGCCTCCCACTGGGCCATGTATGTTTTAATTGAGCTTCTGGAACCGTGAGTGATTTACATTTGTTTTTGCTTTTTAAATGGATGTTGTGCCTGCCACGTTTACAGCTAAGATTACAAGTAGGATTTGATCTCAAGCTGGAAAAACTCTTACAATCCAAGCTGGTGAGATCAATTAAATAGCAACTGAACCTTATATTTGGGTTTTACAAGATTTACTTGTTAATGGTGGGTAGTTTTAGTAAAAGATGTCTTAAAGTCAAGTCTCCAGCTTGTGACTTCACTGGCCTTACCGCTATTTTACTCCTTTCATTCTAGATGCTTAGAGTTTATCTCGAAGGGTTTTTTCCTTTAGATAGTCTTTCTTGTAGTATCAAGAACGGCCTTCTCTTTAGTTTCTTGTACTATAAGTAGTTATCTTGTATACCTATTTCTTACTCACTTATCTTTTGGGCCTTGACATTTCCCCCTTCTCTTAATAAGGCTTTTACTTTTCTTTTTTGTTTCTTTCTAGCTTTATGGGTTCTGTGTTTTTATTTGTTCTTTGAAATATGGCTTTGTATAATTTTCCCCTAGTCATTTAAAACTCTCAAGTCTTAGCTTCCTTGCCCTTGAGTCTGTAAAGACCTTGGGATGCATTGGAAGGGACTGTAGAAAATGAGGTTGATATGCTGACTAGCTTTGTTAGCAAAATCAGGGCTATTTATATAACTGCTCTGCATGTTTAGCATGTGCAAACCATAGATACAGTGGTGAAAAGTACAGAATAAGAGGGGTTTTGTCATCCAGAACTGCAAACTTATTTCATAAAAAAATCTGTAGCCTGCATATATATATGTATATATACATATATGTATAAAAGGATTTTCTTGAAGATAAAGTAATCTCACTATCACAAGATAAATACTTATGTTTTTTAAAAGATATGGCAAAATTAATTGAAGAATAAATTAGGGTCAAAATGAGACCTCATGGGCCTTTGCCTGTATCTTTGTAAGAAAAATAAATCCTGTTGTTTTAGTTCAGAGTTTCATTGCTGGCCGGACCTATTCAAATGTTTACATTATTTTATGTAAAAAGCAGGATATAGTACCTTTTAATCCTATCGATTCTCCTTTCATCTTATCCTTGCCTCCTGCAGTAATTCCTAATACCCTAGAAGTTGTTCTGTTCCTCAGATGCATTGAATTTATGCTTATTTAAAAAAATTTCCAAAGTTTTTCATTACCAGAGGCCTTGAGAGCACAGCATCATCTTTGGGAAAGCTGCTTCTTTTTCTTGGAAATTCTAGTAACAAGGGTCTGTAATTGGCCATAAGGAGACCAGTGTCATGTTTGGGGGAGCCAATGATAGCTCTGAGACTTGGGTAAAGGCAAGGATAAAGTCCTTCCTATTTCACCTCAACCCCCCGCCCCCCAATAAGAAAAGCAAAAGCAAAAGATAAATGGGTAGGTGAGAATTAAAGTGGAAAGTACTATGTAGGAAAACAGTAAAAAGAATGGGAGAGACAGAAGAAAGAAGTCTTTACAGTATATAGAAAGGCCACTGTGCCATTGCCATAATTTCATTTTAGATTTGCCAGTTCAACACTAAAAACCAAACAAACCAAACAAATATTTGTTTCTTCCTGACTACAGTGGGAATATGCTGTCACAATCTAGCCTTAGCTAAGGTTCCCCTTATTGCTTCACTGATAGCAACATACTATAGTTACAGACAGAAGATCAGGGAAACATTAAGAGCCTCAAGGGCTTTGGTGATGGCTCTGTTTTAGGCCATAATCCTTCATCTCCCACTAGGCTTTTGGGGACCATTTAGTAATTGCACCAGCAATTACTAAATAAGATAACTTAGGTTATCTTATCCTGGCCTGGCAGTTTGTTTTCAGAGAATTTGTATTACACTGTAATTCTCACTTCTCTGCTTTTGCCTTTCCAAGTGAGGCTAAATGCAGATTATTCCGTTAGAGCCCAGCATACAATGGTCAGGTGAATGAACTGGAATCTTTAAAATAGGTGAATGCACAGTGTGATAAAAGTGGCAAGGATTTCGGGTGGCCTTGGGACTTTTGTTTTTAAGACTTTATCTTTAAGCAGGATTGTTTATGTTCCTCTGGCTTACCTCTCTTATTAGAAATCTTTGGTTTGAAAGCAAAGGTATGTAATGTTAATAGATACCCAGGTATAAAAGTATAGTGTTACATCTAACAGCATGAAATTTAGTTTTTTGAAAGTCCTGAGTGCAAGATCCCACTCTGCTCCTCACTTTGTGAAATTGGGCACATCACTTGGTTTTGAAGCTAGTTTCCTCATGGGAAAATGAGGATAATGATAGTGCCTACCTATAGTGTCCTTGTGAGACTCAAATAGAGTAAAGCATTTAGTACAGTATCTGGCACATAATTAACACCCAATAAATTAAGAGTTTTCCTACCACTACTAATATTCTTACATACCTCATCTATTTCCTCCTCTGGTTCAGAAAATTCAGGAATCACTTTAATCTGAGTTTTGATGAAGCATTTTTGAAGACCTACAAAGTAGATGCCAGTGTAACCCTATAAACAGACAAAAAAAAAAAAAACCTTCCTGAAATAGCCAAAGTTAGAGTTCCATGATCTGTTAAGGCCTCAGGATGGCAAAAATTTGAATTCAAAGGAAAGCTTTGTTTTATAAATTAAGTGGAGGCTAAAGACTATTTATAACTTGACTCAATTTTTCTAATATTTTAAGTGGGAATCCTTGCAGAGTGGAATATCCAACTTACATTTTTAAAGTCATGTACTTCCAATGTTTCATCAGTGCCATTTCCACTTCTGAATATTTCAGTTCTGGTCACAGGATCAATTTCCATGTAAATCTTCTTCTTCTCTCCATTGCTGTAGAAAGTGTGCTCCATGTCATATGTCTGGAAGAACAGAGGAAACCAAGCTAAGATACTCGGTATGTCCCTTCATAAGACACTTTAATTGAATAATATCTGGGGCACCTTCTTTTTCTGGAGCTTTTGTGGTGAGGTGCCATTTCAGCAGTTTACCATTGGGATTCCTCTGAGACTCAAGATTAAAGTGAGGTGCATTTTGGCACTGGAGCTGATATGGGGAATCCCTTCAGAGCCAGTGTTTTGTATTCAGCCTAAGTTGCTGAACTAATCACTAAAATTCCAACAGTTTTCTTGGCAGCCTTGACAAAATAGCGAATGATATTTTTCAAACCAGCCTCTAAATTATTTTCCCCTTAGGTTAAACAGAGGGATCACATAAAACTGATGCGGCTGCCTTAAGCTACCACTTCCCTTTCAAGTGCTCTGTGTTCACCTCTCTCTCCTCTTGAAATTCACTGGGGCTAAGAAAGAGATTTTAACACACTTAAAATGCTTAGGTATTGCTCTTTATATCCTTAGATAAGGAGGGCTTTAATATTACCTCAATAATTTTGAGTCTGTCTTTTTTAGAATCTAAAGCCCATTCTCCTTGGCCAATATTAGGTAACAGTCTTACCCTGACCTCAATTGCTTCCTCTCTCCCCTTTCAACTCCAGGAATCATTTATTGCCTTCCCTGACCTTCTCTTTTATGGGCTAATCAAACCCACTCAGTTTATTCCTGAGTTCTATTTTCCAAATCTAATTCAGTTGGCTTCAAGTTCTCCTGTGTATAGAATTCAACAACTGTGTCAAGTGCCCTGCACTAAGTTATATGGTATCTTCCAAGAATAGTGCCTAGGCAGGGCTTCTTATCAGGTCATTCTTGAGTGGTTGCTGCAAAATTCTAGACTCTCTCTAGCCCTCTAAAAGTGACATTTTTTTTTGGGACCAAGAGGACCAGTCTCATCAAGTGTCCCAGTTTAGGAGTAAGCCCATTACTATAACTGATGACACATTTGTAGCTAGAGGCAAATAACAAATCTAAAGTAGCTCACTATCTGTCACAAACCAAGCCCGACCTGATGGTGCCATGTGGAAATCTGTCTTATCCCTGTTGTTAGGATGCCTTCTGCTATCAAGTTTTTTTTATTTTTTTCTTTCTTTTTTATAACATGGTCAGAGTGGACAACCCTGTCTTATTCCTTTTTTAAAAAAGATTTTATTTATTTATTCATGAGAGAGAGAGAGAGAGAGAGAGAGAGAGAGGCAGAGACACAGTTAGAGGGAGAAACAGGCTCCATGCAGGGAACCCGACATGGGACCTGATCCCGGGACTCTAGGATCATGCTCTGCGCCAAAGGCAGGGTCTAAACCGCTGAGCCACCCAGAGATCCCCCTATCAAGTTTTTTCATATTCATTTTTCCTTAGGAAAAAAATTTGGTAAACTGAAATCCCCCTAAAACAAGTAATATAGAGAGCCAAGGTTGATTTCTAATCATATGGTTCCTGATGAAAGCTTTTAGAGCCGGTACTGGGCAGGATTGTTTTTAATATCTGCTAATGTCTGCGACTGAATGTTAGTTTAACCTGGTCAAATTTTCCCCAGCTCAAGTAGAAAGTTGAAAGTTGGAAGGGTTTGTAGAAACAATGTTACTTCAAATGTGGAAAGTCAATGTAGCTGCTGAATAGGAAGAGACAATGTCATTTACCTCTTTGTAGACACCTGCAGTGTCTTAGACAGGGTCAGTGCTTAAGTCAATTTGATTGTACTCAATTATTAAGTATGTAACATAAGTTTTTCCCACCAATGACAAAACCTTATCTTCATAAAGAGACATTTTGAACATTGACAAGGTCTTTTTTTTATAGTCACACACACACACACACACACACAGAGAGAGAGAGAGAGAGAGAGAGAGAGGCAGAGGGAGAAGCAGGCTCCATGCACCGGGAGCCCGACGCAGGATTCGATTCCGGGTCTCCAGGATCGCGCCCTGGGCCAAAGACAGGTGCCAAACCGCTGCACCACCCAGGGATCCCCATTGACAAGGTCTTTTAAGAGACCATACTTTAAAAGGGGAGGGAAAATGCTATTTACAACCTTCCAGCAACTACAGAGTTAAGTCAGGAAGTCTCGCTTGCTTTGTGACAGCAAACAAATTCCTTTAAGCTTGTTATTTGCTTCTAGTTATAAATATGTCCTCAATTCCAGCTCTGCAGCCAGTTTGAGAAACTTCTACCTGTGGCAACAAATTGAACTCTCAGTTGGCCTGACCTAAGTAGAGGACAGAGGCATTTACTTCAAATCCGGTCTTGTCAGATCTAACAGGAAGGAATTTCTTTAGAAATACTATCCATAAAAAAAAAAAAGAAATACTATCCATTGTTGAGACAAATGTCAGCACTACTAGTCATTGGGGGTGGGGTGGGGTGTTTGTTTCACCAGTAGCACCACTGATGGATTATGGCATGGAAAAATAAGGTTAGAGACTAGGGGATGTTGGAATGCTGCCTACCTGTGCAAAAGAAAAAGTACAGGCTGTATTTTCAATCATTGGTAGAAGACTATGGAACCATACCGATGACATTTAGAATTTCAGTGTACTTCTGTGGAATGAGTTTTCCTGCACTGTTGGCAATGCACTTCACTTGGACACCTTGCTAGATGAAAACTATTGGAAACTGCCAATCTCAGCAGATCTTCAAACATTCCTTCAAAGAGGTTTTCTGTTTTGTTTTGTTTGGGTTTTTTGTTTTGTTAGGGGAACAGGGGTCCATTCTGATTGTATTCACTAACCCAGGTTATTGGCTTATTTTCAGCAGTGATAGGCTACTCAATGGGGTGAGATCAGAATGACTTCACATATGTGTGAATTCTGGATGGGCGGTGGGGGTGGAAAGCTATATATTCACCCAGATGGAATTCTACTATCAAAGGTGTCCTTTAGGAACAGACTGTCCTTGTCTAGGAAGATGATGCCGGTGGCCCACTTTGGATTGTTTGGGGATGGGTTTGAGCAAATCCAGACATACTGTCTCGCCCAGGTCCCTGTGGAGTATATTGCCTGGATAATTGCTATGCAAGCTCCACTGGCCCATATGAAGACTGAGCTCATGCCTTTGGCCCCAGAAATACTTTTCTGTCTATTAAGCTCATTGGCTCAGGGGCTGAGGGTCTTTCTGGTGATGAAGGAATAAAAGGTTTAAACTGTCCTTTCCAGGAACAAACTAAAGAAGAGATAGCATAACTGGCCTGAGAGAGGTATGAATGGACTCTCAGTAGCTTATCTCACACTGTTCCCTAACTCAGCTTTACTTCAAGAAGGACAGAGCAAGGACAGGGTGTGAGAAGGAGTACACTTCTGTCAAATTGGCAAATAGGGAAAGTTAATCATTGGTGTTTCTAGGGAACCTTGTTCTTTTCATATTCTATTCATTTTGTATCCTCCTAGTCTTTCCCCTTCTTTTCACCTCTCTCTATCCCTCTGTCTACTGTCTAGACATGTAGGAATCTCATGGTGCTCCTTTATGTCCAAGAAGAAATCAATTTGACAAATGATTTCATACTAAGATGATAGTGATGGGTATTGGTCGCTTAAAAAAATGAGTGCAATAATTAACTAAAAGAATGAATTACTAATGATGGGTTTTAAGCACAATGACATCAGGAATAAGAGATATTTTGGAGGCAAGGGCATTCTTCCTGCATCACTCAAATAGGTTTCTATTTAACCCACACATAGGGCTTGTCTTAACTAGGGACCAGAACATTGGAATGAGATAGGGAAACCTATGGAGTGGAATATGACTCAGAAGTGAATATATGGTTAAGTTGAGGCAGTGAGAGATGTAAGAAGACCACACTGAGAAAACATGGAATAAAACCAAAATCATTTCTCTTCCCTGCCCAGAAATTCTTTCCTTAATCCAGTTGAATCCTCCATTCAGGTAGCAAATGAGCCTTAACATCCCGCTTTCACAATTTTCCGTTTTTTTTTTTTTTTTGCCTCAATTTGTGGCAATCTCTGAGATTAAAAAAGAAAGCTTTTTAAAGAAAGTAATGTTGCCTCAGACCTCAGTGTGATGGATCTGTTTTGGGGGCAAATACCTTTTAGCCTTTCCTAAAAGGAGTTTGAGGACATTTAGCTTAGGTTTGCTTCCTGAAGCCTGTGATTAACCTAGCTGCTCTTCTTTCCATCTTCATCCTTTACTGTTTATGAGGTACACTCTCCAAAGGTAAATACATGCTCAGAATAGCTGGCTGGCAGGTGTTAGGCTGGAAGGAAGGGAAGAGAATGCATTGTACCATTTTATTATCAACCTAGCCTGTGGGAATTAAAGGGCCTCTGGGTATTTCTTTACCAACATAGAGCAGACAGATTGTTTCTTATGCAAAGTTGGACTTCTGCATCTTCAATCACCAGTTCTCAGCCCTGAAAAAAATTGGCATAAGCAGCACAGACATTCTTTTTCAACAAGAAAAAAACATTTCTTTCATCAACAGACTCAAGCTGGCTGGGAAGTTTTCCCATACCCACTATCCCTGCCACCCCGTGTTCTTAAATGCAACGTTAAGAATAATAGAAAGAATCCTTAGACCAGGTTCTAGTCCTAACCTCAACTCTGCCACATAAAAGCTGTTTGACCTTGGGCAAGTCATCAAATTTCTCTGGAAGTTCAGTTCCCATATTTAACTCCCACTTCTTGCCAGGTCCAATATTGAATAGTTAACAAAATTAGCTCTGCTTCGATTTGGGCTGACACCTCTTAGGTTGATGATCAGACTGCTAGTACCTGTTGATCACCTGGGCTGCTTTCCCTACAGAGCCCCAATCCCACTCTCAGCCTCTAAAAGAGAGCTTTATTTTCCTTGCTGGTGACATGTAAGTTGCTCAGCAAATGCTGCCTTAGGAGAATGAAGGGACTGAATAAGAATGTGCCCACAGTAGCCAGAGTCCTGGTATACATAATTGGTGCTGCCTCTTGATAGGCCAGAGCAAGAGCTGGTCCAGTGAGAGTTGCTGTCTGTATAAGTGTGGACTTTGCTCCTGCAATGGTTTGGGAGGAAAATAAAATGAAGATAAATCTTCTTTATTAAAATGCTGATGTGGCAACATCTGGTGAAGCTCAGTCCCTCTGCTAAAGAGATTTCAGCTACAACTCTTTTTCCTTGAGGGTATAAATATTTCTCCAGATCCACATTTTACCCACCAAACTGTTGTGTAGGAAAGCCCAGGGAACTCAGGAAGGAGAGTTGTATCAATTATGTGCCTAGGGCAGCCCGGGTGGCTCAGCGATTTAGCGCCTCCTTCAATCCAGGGCCTGATCCTCGAGGCCTGGGATCAAGTCCCACGTCAGGGTCTCTGCGTGGAGCCTGCTTCTCCCTCTGCCTGTGTCTTTGCCTCTCTCTTTCTGTGTCTCTCATGAATAAATAAAGTCTTTTAAAAAATTTCTTTAATAGTTGATTTGTTCCAATCAGGATTCAAATAAAGTTCACACATTTCATTTAAAAAAATTATGGGCCTAGAAGAGGAATAGAAGAAGAAAGTGGGTCTCTGACCAATGTTAGCATTAGAGAAATAGACACAAGAAAGCTATATCGAGATTTAGCAAGAAAGTATTTTTTCCAAGCAAAGGATTTTCAGTCCATAATGATTTGGGGCTTGCAATCCTGGGTGAGGCTATTTTAATGATTATTGAGTTGAATTGGTGGGAAGGGTAGAAGAATGCCCACCTATCCCTACCACTTCTCATCCTGGTAGTATATAGGAGCTATGAGGATGCCCCAGTAATTTGTTGATTGTTGTGTGGGCCCTAGGAATTATGGTTTCTAAAGAGCACTAAGGTCACCAGGCAGTTCCTGGATATGGCAGGAAGGACAGAATTTCATTTATTTAATTTATCATCCTTCTGCCTCATTCTTCAAAGGATTGGAGGGGATAGGTTACAAGGTCTGTGCTGCATCTATAAATTGTTGTTTTAATGGCCGGTATTTTTATGACTTATTTTCTCCATGTTGGATTAATTAGCTGGAGAGTCGGCTTTTAATTGTTTCAAGTTAAATGTGTAATGAAGGGAGGTTTGAGGAAGAATGTTTTTCTAGGGAATAGGCTTCAAAAATCCCTGAGCAGGGCAGCCCCGGGTGGCTCAGTGGTTTAGCGCCGCCTTCAGCTCAGGGCGTGATCCTGGAGTCCCCGAATCCAGTCCTGTGTCCAGCTCCCTGCATGGAGCCTGCTTCTCCCTCGGCCTCTGTCTCTGCCTCTCTCTCCCTCTGTGTCTCTCATGAATAAATAAATAAAATCTTTTTTTAAAAAAAATCCCTGAGCAGTCATTGCCTGGAGGTGGAGCCTCATTGTGATGCACTCTCAAAATCTCTGGGACCAAATAGGTCCCTTCTGCTGGATTGAGAAAACCGAATACAGAGTTTGATGGTCTGGCTTTCATTCAACTCAAGTGGTTCCTATATGTGGTTGTGGGTTAGGGGGTCTGTAGCCTTTAAGGGATGGCAGCAGCTCCCTCAGAGATAATTCCTCGTGTTTCTCTTCATTTTGATGGATTTCTCTTTTTGAATGTGTGTATGAGTGTGTATGCATGTGCATATGCATACATGCATGTGTCCTCATACCTGAGGTGAGGAGAGGGAATCTATCATGGCTTATTCCCACTTTGGGCTCAAGAATCTCCATCTTTTGTACAAACCAAGGTGGGAGGTAATGGAAGGAGAGGAACGACTTACTGGCATGGAAATGTCAACACCAGATGCGAGATGTTAAGTAAATACTGTTCACTATAAACTAATGTCCAACGAAAAACCAGAATGAAAAGGAGATATGATGAAGGCTAGAGGAACAAACACTAAAAGCTTGAAGGAAGCCCCAAGAGAGCAGACAAATCACTCCATCCATAAGCACAACCACATCAACAATTCTGTCCACCAAGGGCCCAATGGTCCCCACAGATCCCATAGGCTAATAAAGGAAAGTCCAAAAGAGCCTGGATTTTAATCTGCTGTTATTTGTTGCTAGGCCATACTCTTAAGGGAAGTCTTTAATTTGTGCAAGATGCCTGGATTCTTTTCCTTTGCAAATTTTCTTCCAAGACTAATCCGACTACTTTTCTCTTCCTAGGATTCATAAGTCAGCTCTGAGACAGGCTTATTGGCAGTCTTAGTCATTGGAAAAATAGATGGTCTCTTGGGATCTGTATGGAAATTGAAGGTAGTGGTAGACTGAGTGAAGCATTCACATCTCCACCTTGTTCCTTAGTTTGCAATGGACCCAGCCTGGTCTTGTGGTGAAGGCCAGGACTTAAATATCAAAGACAATAAATTACCACTCCCCATTGGAATGGAGAATAAATAACCTTTGTTCACGGTGGGAAAAGTTGACCTAGGAGACAGCTATTGTCTTTTACCAGTTTGCTTCACGATAATTTTGTTCATTTCTCAGAATCCTTTCCTGAAAAGCACATCCCATGATGAATTACTTCATGGCAGACTTGATTCTTGGTCAACTTTATTTGGTAGCATACCCCACCTCTTCTACGCTGACAAGGTTTTACTTTTTGTTTGAGGAATCACAGGATTTTTCCTTCTAATGCATTAAAAAGAGAACTGAAGTGAGATGTAAAGATGATATAATATGGAAGCAGAGGGAATCATGGGCCCTGTTAAAGAGTTTGGCACCTTACAAGATAAAAGCAAGGTCTTACTTAGTCATTTATAGTTATACCAAGGCAAATAACATAGGAAGTTTAGAAAAACACATAAACTCTTTCAAAATAGCATTTGCAGTACCAACAGCTACAATAAAACAAGAAAGGCCATCTGGCCCCATGTTTAGTTAGGCTTGTACAGGTGGTCAAAGGGCTAGCTATTTACCACACTCAGTTAAGTACATTATGGCCATGGAGAACAAAAGGGTTTATTGTCCTTTAACTCACCTATAATTGTCAAAAGGATCTAATATTCAATTTGTGGGACAAAACATCACCTAGGCAATTAGCTAAGTGGTAACAGAATTGGATTGGAATGCATTTTGGCACTTTTATTCATTTGCTGTTTCCTTCCTGATCTCTATTTCTTTGCCCACTGTGATAGCTTGACTATAGGTGGCTTCTCTAGAAAGATATGTGAAAAGAAAGTAGTTAAGAAACAGGGCACAATGCAAGAGATAAGGAGAGAGAGAGAGAGAGAGAGAGAGAGAGAGAGAGAGAGAGAGAGAGAAACGGCTATAGGCATTAGTTGATGCTTGAAATCCTTTCTGGAACAAGGTGTAAATAAATAGGAAAATAATCAAGATGGGTTGCTCTGCTTTTTCATTTTCCTTCCTATTTATTTTTCTAAAAGATTTTTATTTATTTGTTCATGAGAGACACAGAGAGAGGCAGAGACATAGGCAGAGAGAGAAGCAGGCTCCCTGCAGGGAGCCTGACACAGCACTCAATCCCAGGACCCCGGGATCACGCTCTGGGCCAAAGGCAGGCGCTGAACCCGCTAAGCCACCCCTCAGGAATCCCTCTCCTTCCTATTTAAACTTGCTAAGATAGCCTCTGGGACTAAATGAAAGTGGATATAGCAATAGAGGTGAAGAATCCAAGGGTAACTATGTCTTATTTCTGTTTTCTTCTGGACACTTGTCCAGTTAATTTTCTATTTTCTCTCCCCTGCCTCTCCTTTTTCATCAATCCATATTCTTTCCTCTCTGCTCCTGTCACTCCTTTGGCTCCCAGTAGTCCATGCCAACCCATTTTCTTCTTGTCTCTCATTCTCCCTCCTGTATATATGCCTTTCTCTTCCTACATCTGTTATCAAATAGAAATGAGCATCTCATGGTAACCAATTAATAGCAAAAGTAACAACAACCTACACGCAGAGAAAAAAAATGTGGCAAAGACAGAAAACCATCTGCACACCTTGTAGCTTGCATATTTATTAATTCTCTGAAATAGAAATTGTGAGCATGAAGGAACTACGATTTTCTTTGGGTCACATCTAAACTTGCCCGTTGTGTGTGAGTCTGGGAGTAATAATAACATTAAGGTACACTAATAACTACAGTGGCCAGCCAGGTATACCAAATGATCCTAATATTAGAAGCTTTCTGAGATACCTGTGATTAATGACCCGTGATTAATCAACCTTGTGGTATTATAATCTCAGTGGTTCAGTGACGATTGTGGCTGGTGAGGAGCTGAAAAGCTCTAGTGTTTTTAAGTCATAAAAACATGTGAAGTCAGATATAAGAATTGCTTCTTCTGAAAAGAAGTTTGCTGCCTGACCTCAGAGCAGATGCATTAAGTCAGAAACATAATCTCTAAAAATCCTTTGCTACCATTTCTGGTGATTTCTTCTTATGTGGTGGTATAATTATTTTTCCATCAGTTTCTGCCCAAATAATTGAAAGAAAGATGAAAAGTATTTTTTCTTACAGTAAAAATTTTGCTTCTAGGAGGAGTCTTAACTTCTTAAAGCCAATCATTATAAAAGAGTGGGTAATTCGACTCCTATCATTACTAACTAAAATACAGAAAATATATTTTTCCCTTACCAAAGTAATTAGGCAAATAAAAGAAAGCAAAATATTGATTCAGATTTTCATACTACCAGAAAATATATGCAAAAGGGACTTAATGATTTTCATTTTCAGAGTAATATACATGTAAAGCACTAAATTCAATCAAACTGAAAACAGAAGCATTAGATAATAACGTGCATTTACTTACTTTTTTGGGTGTCTCCGGCCGGAAGTGCTTGCCCCCCAAAAACAGGACAATTAGAGTTAGAGCCAGGATACCAAACACCAATCCACAAATCTTAAGTGATTTACATATCTTTTTGGATTTAAAAGCTTCTGCCTAAGCAAAGAACAGAGAGAATAAACAATACACAATAGCTCTTAAAATAGCAAGCCATAATTCAAAATCACCTTTGATTTCACTTTCTAATGTTCACATTGCAATACAATAAATCCATGAAACCATGCTTATGCTCAAAAGGGAAAAATATGAATCAACTTACATTTAGAATGTGACAGTCCTCACAGTTCTCTGGAGGATTCTTTGCCATGCTCTCTCAGCACACAGTACTCTTTTCCTACTTTGAGAGGACTGAGAGACCACTGCTGAGGTGGAGTTGCAAGTGAGTCAGCTAACAGATGCCAGAGGAGAAGCTTAATTTATATGGCTCAAATATGTCATTCCAGAGCCCGAGGGAGCCCAGGGGGCTCCTGTGCTGCGATTTGTTACATAGATATACCCATATATGTATATAACTTCTGTACAAAGAATTCCATCCAGAATGGCAAAGACAGAAGGTTATAATGAAAACTATTGTCCTGGGGGTTGGTTTGGAAGGGGACCAAGCCTAGGACACATTGAAATGATTTTTCACCATGAACTTAAAATATCAGTGGCAACACATGCTGCACACTCCAGAAATAAGCAAACAAAACAAAAAAGGAATGAAGTCCTGATTTCAATCCCATTTATTTTAACAAATATTTTTTGCAGGAATATTAAATGTCAGGCACTGTACTTGGTGTCAGAGATTCAGAAATGAGTAAGGTACTGTCTCCTCTATTATGGTAAAGCCCTTTGAGGACCGAGATCAATATGTACTCAACTAATTATAATTAAAAATAGGATCAAAAGGGCAGCCCAGGTGGCTCAGCGGTTTAGTGCCGCCTTCAGCCCAGGGCGTGATCCTGGAGTCCCGGGATCGAGTCCCCCGTCAGCTCCCTGCATGGAGCCTGCTTCTCCCTCTGCCTGTGTCTCTGCCTCTCTCTCTCTCTCTCTCTCTCTCTGTTTGTGTGTCTTTCATGAATAAATAAATAAAATCTTTAAAAAAATAGGATTAAAAGATTAATGATAAGTTTTCTCTCTCTCTTCATCCTATCTCTCTGATTATTTTCCTTTTTAAATTCTCTTCCTCAGCCTGTTTCTTAATGCTGATATTCCTTATGGTTCCATCCTTGATGATCTTCTAACTCTATATACTCTTCTTAGATGATCTCACCCACTCCTATAAAGTGTCAGCTGCATATCAATGATTTTTAAATCTGTATCTGTAGCTGATTTCTTTCTATCTCCTGAATTTCAAAGCCATTTGAATACCTCTACCAAGATATGCCTCAGAAACCTCAAACTTGGACGCCTGAGTGGCTCAGCCAGTTGAGTATCTGCCTTCACCTCAGGCCATGACTCCAGGTCCTGGGATCAAACCCCTCATTGGGCCCCTTGCCCAGCAGGGTCTGCTTCTCCCTCTCCCCTGCTTGTGCTCACTCTTTATCTCTATAAATAAATAAAATCTTAAAAAAAAGAAACCTGAAACCCAACATGTCCCACATAAAACTTTTCTTTTGAAACTCCCTTTTCCCAACCTACTCTTTCCCCATATTTTTAATCTTGGTTGGTGGTTATATTAGTTTTCTAGAGCTGACATAACAAAGTACCACAGACTGGGTGGCATAAAGAACAGAAATTTATATTCTCACAGCTCTAGAGGCTGGAAGTCCAAGATCAAGGTGTTAGCACCTTGCTGAGACCTCTCTCCTTGCTTTTTAGATGGCCTTCTTCAAGCTCACAGGGCATTCTCTCTCTATGCAGGTCTTCATGTCTTCTTTAAAAAAGATTATTTATTTATTTATTTATTTATTCATTTATTTATTTGACAGAGAGAGAGCACAAGCAGGGGGAGCAGCAGGCAGAAGGAGAGGAAGAAGCAGGCTCCCCACTGAGCAGGGAGCCTGATGGATGGCTCCATCCTAGGACCCTGGGATCATGAGCTGAGCCACAGGCAGCTAGCTGCTTAACTGACTGAGCCACCCAGATGCCTCTCTCTATGCATGTCTATTTCCTAATTTCTTCTTATTAGGACAAGAGTGTTATTGGACTAGGGCTCATTCATATGACCTTATTTTTCCTTAATCACCTCCTTAAAAGCCTTATCTTCAAATATAGTTACATTAAAAGATAACAAGTATTAGTGCTTTAACATCTGAGTTTGGTAAGGTGGAGGGCACAATTCAGCCCATAATAGTGGAACCCACTGAAGCTCCAAAACCAGGAAACTGAGGTCTGAGACTCCCTTCCCTTTTTCACATTCCCTTGATCTAATCAGTTACGAAATCTTATGTATTCTAAATTCTTACATCCTTCAAAGCCATTCTTTCCTCTCTATGTTGACCATTAAAACTTAGTTTTTATCTTTGAGGGGTCTCAAATCCATTATCTCTAATCCAGGCTATTCTCTTAGGTCTCTAGACCCATGTGTCTATCTACCCTAATCTCTTCATTGGATATTTCATAGGCCTCTCTAATAGCACATGTCTCAAATTGAATTAATTATCTCCCCTTCCAAACATACTTTTCTTTCTGTATTATCTCCATCATTAAATGACACAATGATTAGTCTTTAGAATAGAAATCTCCAGAAGATCCCTAGTTTTTTTTGTTCTTATTCACCCCCATGCCTAATTAATTATTAAATCCCATCAGTTTTGTCTCTGAATTATCTCTCTAATTCTATTCTCTCCATCCTCAATTGCCTCTGCTTTAGTTGAGGTTTTAACAATTACTTTTACTGTTGCATTAGAATTCTTACTGGTTTTTTTTTTTTTTTGCCTCCAATCCATTGCCTCAAGGTGATCTTTCTAAAATGCAAATCTGAGGATAATCTTTTCCCTGTTTAAAATCCTTTCATGTCTATTCATTGCCTATAAAATCAAAGCTACTTATAGTAACATCACAGGCATTTCATGGTCTGGAGTCTGCTTACCTCTCCAGGCTTGATTTTGAACAATTTCTTTCATAAAGATGGAGCCAACTGGGAGTCAGATAGACAGGGGGATGAAGCATGTACATGTGACTTCATCCACATCCTAATGTCTCAAAGAAAAATAATTTTCAGACTGTTGCAGGCATAGTTATGCATGAAATTGATTATGTAATTTATGAAGTATAGGTCAGGTTCTATTTGTTTTACAATTATTTAATCAAGCTTAGAAAAAAAAAGAAAATCATGAGAGTAGTCTCATTGAGAAACTGTTTACTGTGTCCCACTCCACAATGTTACACTATGCCCCCAATGCCTTCCTTGTACTTTACCTTTATTGATACTGAGCATTCCCCATTTTTTCACACTATGGCGCATTTACACGTATTAGACTCTTTGCTTGGATTTCCCTTCCTTGTTCTTTTTTTTTGTCTTACTCATACTTTAAATCTTGCATTTCTTATACTGCATTATAGTTCATTTGTACTTGCTTTTCTCCTGAACAGGCTTTGAGATCTGTAAAAACCATGCCTTATTTGTTAAAAGTATTTAATTAAAATAGAGGTCAAAGCAATATACCACACATGGAAGGATGAGAGGCAGTTAATTAATGAGAGCAGGGAAAATGGCACAAAGCATATGGAATTTCAGTAAATTGTTCATTTATTAACATTGTTTATTCAGTGTCCTATATGTGCTAGGCACTGTTATAGGGGCTGGACATATATTTAGACAAGACAAACACAGTCCCCGACATTACAGAACTCAAAGTGTAGCTGGAGAGACAGAAGTTAAACTAAAAGGAAAAAATCCTATAAATAAAAAAAATATAAGTTATGAACTTGCTAAGAAAGAAAAGTTCAGGATGCTATGGAATCATCTAATTTGAATTGGGGGTGTCAGGGAAGTCCAAACTGAGATGTCTCTGAAGCTCAGACCTGAATAATGAGTAGAAGTTAGCTGATGAAGAGTGAGGAAAAGATTATTCCAGGCAGAGGGAACAGCACATGCAAATACCCTGAAGCAGAAGAGATCCTGTATTTGAAGAGTAAAAAGAAAGTCAGTGTGGCTATAAAACAGCGAATGAGGAGGAAAGTTATTTGAGATAAGGATGAAGAGATAGACAAGGACAATACCATACAAGATTGTGTCTATTAGGACTGTTTTTGGCTGCACATAAAAGAAATCAAGATATGGTGGCTTAACAAAATAAGAGATTTATTTTTCTGATATAACAGCCTCAGTGTCAACAGTCCAGGGCTTGTGCAAGTTCTAGGACCCAAGCTTCCATATCTTTGTTTTGTGATCCTTTGAGCATGGCTTCCATCTTCTTGCTTCAAAGATGATTGTTTCACTCCCAGTCAGGACAAAGGAGAGAATGCAAAAAACAAAGGACATGTGACAACTGAATCTGTCTCTTTCCATCATGAAAATAGTTTTTCTAGAAGCCCTATCTTGTAGATGTCTGCTTAGCTTATTGGCTAGAATTGGGTTGGATGGCCAACTCTAGCTATAATGGAGTCTGGGGAGGTTTCGTTTTTAATTCAGCCGATTACTACCCATAACAAAATGCTGGTTTTCTTATAGAATGAGGAAACATACTGTGTAAAAACTCAGTTTCTGCCACAAGGACTATAGTAAGAGTGAAATTTATTCAAAGAGCAATGGGAATTCTTTGAAGGATTTAAGCAAGGGAGATATACAATTCCTTTTTCATTTATTAGCATCTCTCTGACTGCTATGAGTAGAACGAATTGTAAGGAAGCAAGAATTTTAAAATGTTTATCAGTTAGGAGGCAATTGCAAGAGATGATGTTGGCCTAGACTAAAGAAGTGGTAATAGAGATGGTAGACAGATTTGGGATATATTTTATACATGGTGATATATTGGACATACAGGGTGAGAAAAAAGGAAGAATAAAAATGATTCATGTATTTTTGATTTGTGCATTTGGGTGGAGTGTGGTGTCATTCACTGGGGTCAGGAAACATTGGAGGACCATTTGGGGATAGTGAATGTGGTTTTGGACATGTTGAATTTGAGGTGTGTATGAAGCATACAAAAGATGTCGAGTTGGCAGTTGGGCATATGTGTTTGGAGCTCAGAAGACAGTCTCTGGAATGGAAATATATAGGCATACTTCATTTTATTGTGCTTTGCTTTACTGAGCTTCACAGGTACTGCATGTTTACAAATTGAAGTTTTGTGGCAACCCTGCATTGACCAAGTCTGTTGGTGCCATTTTTTTCCAATAGCATTTGCTTACTTTGTATCTCTGTGCCACAGTTTGGTAATTCTCATAATACTTCAAACTTTTCTTTTCTTTTTTAAAAAAGGTTTTATTTATTTATTCATGAGAGACACAGAGAGAGGGAGAGAGAGAGGCAGAGACATAGGTAGAGGGAGAAGTAGGCTCCATGCAGGGAGCCCGAC